AAGTGTGGCGTAAGGGGACGGTCACCGTCCTGGTCCATGGCCCGGCGCCTCGATCGCAGTTGCATGACCCCCTGCACAGCAATGTGCATGGCGGCCAGCTCCTCGCGTACCTCGGCCTCGGGCATGCGCACGCCCAGGTTTTTAATCAGCAGGCGCACGCACCGATCCTCAGGGAGGGAGAATGTGTGAAAACTCACACCCTCGCCCTCATCGAGGGACCGCAGGACCCTGACGGTGGCCCGGAACCCGTCGGCGGTCTCAGGCACAAGAGCCAGAAGGTCTCCCTTCATCTGCGCCACGATCCCGCAGGCCAACTCCGCGCGAATCCTATGCAGGAAGCTGCGTACGTCCTTCACCCCAGAGACGTACACCGGGGTTTTGTTACGGCGCTCCCCCGGAGCCGTTTTGTCCACTTGAGCGTTGGAAGAAGAAGCGGCGTCAGATGACACACCAGTGAGCGGCCCGGACAGGTCCCCAGTCACCTCCATCGAGGAAGAGGGTCCCGGCTGGGAGCCGGGTCCCTTGGCTGAGGGCTGCACTGTCCTGCTCATGGAAGCGGTGGATGATGTTGCTGCTACCGACGGTCCATCGGGCCGATGAACTTTTGCCGGTGCCGGCAGAGAAGGTGACTGGGCTCCGGACAGTGGCCCGGGCGTCGGGCGCCTGGATGCGGGTTCCAACGAACCGCTCGAATTGGACAAGTCCAACTCTTTGGCTTTCCTCTTGCCAGTGTTGGCTCGAGTAGGCCCTCCGACCACGGTCGTAGCTGCTGTATTTAATGCTGCTGCCACTGCTGCCCGCTGTCTTTGCTTTTCCGCCGCGATGGCGTCCAGGATCTGCTTCTGGACCTGTTGGAACACTTCAGGGAGGTGGGCCTTCAGAAAGGCCAGCTCACCTCCTTCCATGTCTCTCAAACTTTGTTCAATTGTAAGAGACCACGACGTCCACGTCACAGATTTCTCAAACTTTGTTCAATTGTAAGAGACCACGACGTCCACGTCACAGATTTCTTAATAATTCTTATATAAGATAAGCACTTTCTATTTTCTAAAACGTTTTACCAGCACAAAAGCTCAACTCCGTAGGTAAGGAAATGTAATGTTGAAGAGAGGAGAGCGGATCAATTTAAACATTCAGTCCGTACCGCAAAGGAAACATTAATCCGTCCCCATGATAACAATAAAATGATTAATGGTATTTAAGTAAATTATGGCCGGTATTGAAATAACACTAGCTAGGGTTATAATTTATGTAGTAGCTGATGGTTTAATAAATAGGTTGGGCTGGCTCAGGATGGGGACTAGTGGTGGCCTCTTGTGAGCACGATAATGAACCTTCTGGTTGCATAAAATGTTTGGAATTGGCTTGGATCCGTGGAGTAAGGAAGATGTTTTCAAACGTCTTTGCCACGGTGAGCGTTAGAAGACGAATCAGATAATTTAAACACGTGTATAATCTTCAGTTTTTTTCTTTCTGTGACGAGACAACACCGCAGTATGGAACAATTTGAAACTTTTATATGACGATCTGTTAAAGCCAGAAACCACAGAAGTAAATGAGCGCATTGTTTGTAATATCTTCCAGATCAGGCTAAAACTTCAAATGGGATGTTTAAGCGTGCATTTTATATATTTTGTCATTATAACAATTCAGTCAGAGTACAGATGAGTTCAGGATGAATGTTTACAAACAGAACCTGTGGCTGACCTTCCTCCCAGGGATCTGTCTCCTCAGAACTTTAGGTGTGTGTTTATGATACGTAACATAGCACTTGGTAGAGTCAGTATGTTATTATGTTACTGGGTGATCGGAGCACAGCGGTGGCACAGATGACATCCTGCTGTGGGAGGAGAGAGGTTGGAAAGTGGTGTAGGACTAGACATTTATAAATCTTTTTGGATAAAATGTGGTCATAGCGATCGGCCATAGGCATTGTAAACAAAATGTAACTTCCTTCCCTTTCAGAAGATAAATTACATGTGAAACAATGTAAAGCTTCAACTGTCTGGGGATGAACCCAGTCCGATACGCGCTGAGAAGGACAGGAAAGGGGTCTGTAGGATAGGATTTCTCTGAAAATAAACGTGTACTATAGCGATTCACATATTCTGAAGGGTTATGTGGACTGATACTGTCTGGAGACCACTGCCCTAGACCATAATGTGTGGGTGGGATTTCAAAGGTCCTTCTGTGCATTTTGTCGAAATGTGTCATTGCAGGAATCATCCTGAGGAGGTGCAGCGTTTAATTCCGTGGCTGAACAGAGAGCTTCAGGTAATCTTACGAGGCCCTGGGTTATCTGCAGCTGCCCCATAACCACATGCTGTCGCAAGAGTTCCGACGCCCACTGTCTACCATCCTCAGGCAACGCCGTGACCACTTTTGCTGGCTCGTCTTATGACATGGTTGGCTTCGATGAAAATGCTCGTTACGCAGTGCATAAGAACTTTGGGGTTTGTGTCAGTTGTATATTTGATTTCCTATTTTTGAATAAGCAGCCTGAATGTGTGTTCTGTTTTGTCTAAAAATTTAGGATAATCATTGGATTTTTATGAATTATAATGTGAAAGGAGAAGAATGTTTTAGTCTATGTAATGCTGTCAGCTAAAACATGTAGGTCAGATTCCATTTAGGTCTAGAGTGGCCCAATACAGACCTTAGCTAATATGAAATTTGTGTAAATAAGTTGTCATAATGCAGCTCATCGTGATTATGTTGTAGGAGCATGAAGTTCTGTCTGACAGCTCTGACAATGTGGCAATTCTACCATCAGATGAGATCTCGCAGGAGGACATGAAGACTCAAGCTCTCCTGTAGCTGGTCCTTCCGAGGTATGATTACTGATAGCACCATCTCACTTTAAATTGGCAATATTTTTGAAGTTGATCTTTGCCCTCTTAGTTAGGGTTACAGAACCGTATTCTTACATTTTGTATCTTTGCACTACAGCAATGCCAGCCTTTGTCAATACTAGAAGTAGGAGTAGTTTTAATAATAGAGTTCTCATTTCCCAAAATTGAAAACCAAATTACGTTTTGACACTTATTGAGGGATGGAATTACAATAGAATTAATGAATTTTAAATGTGCTGAAATAAAACTTGCCTTTCCCATAACATAATGAATGAACAAACAGTAGAGCTAATAGGAACCAGATAATTTCTAAAAGACATTAAATTATATAATTTAATAGGATAAAATTATTGTCTCTGCCAACATCCCACTGAGAAGGTTAGGACATAGATACAAGGTTAATATTAAATTGAATCTTCGGAAGGCCGAAACATGTTGTTCCAGTGAATGGACTTTGAATTTAGTATATATAAGGGATGAACAAGGAAAATCAAGAATCGCCATGACACACTGGGATGCTACACTAAAGACTTGTAGTAATTATGAATTTTGTGATTCCAAAATGAGTATTATACAGATGTAAACATTTATTTTGGAAATTAAAATTATGTTATCTTAAATTTTTTAAGATTTCCCTCAGTTGTTATACGCACTTTTTAATAACTTCCCAACATATTATTATTATTATTTGTTGTGTGATTCTGCGTCATGACTTCATTTCGACAGCGCAGAAGACATTGAGTCAGGCAGAGAAATTCTGTTAAGGGGTTGCATCTCGTGTTTCAATCGAAGTAGGAGTTATTATTATTATTATCCCATCTCTTCACCACTTTATGGGGTATGTACTCCCATGTACCCAAGACAGACCTTGTCCCTAAGGTACGTAGGGCAGCGGCCATTTCCGGGATCCATATTGTTTTTAACACGTGCCACATGTATTATATAATTTTATTTTATGAAAGCGTCTTTTAGATTATGTATGAAGTTCCCAAAATGGCGGTCTTCAGAAGTTCCCCGATGTCGTGTTCGCCCTGAATGTTGGCCAAATATTTCCTGAGCGACCTGGAGACAGTTTCTGTCGCTCCTATAACTATTGGGATTACTTTTGCCTGAACGTTCCATATTCTCTGTATTTCTATGAGAAGGTCCTTGTATTTCAACATCGTCTCTGCTTCCTTATTATCATCATCGTTTGTTGTGTGATTTGCAGATTCGTCACAACAGTCGACCATTATATTGTGTGGATGCCAATTGGATGCGCTGTGTCGATTGTGCTCGGCATGAAGAACATCTAAATTTAATGGCATTTCAATATAAAGGTGAACCTTCCAACACATTCCTGCGCACGTCGAGCTGCTTTTGTGGTATGGTCGAGAACTCTTTATTGACGTTAAGAATTTTCACAAACCTCAACAGAAACAGTGCCATAGCGAGTAATATTACAACTGAATTATTCTTCTAAAAAATATGTTGCATTTATTTCTGTTATTCCATCCATTTTTTGACTTCAGTCATCCCCTTGTGTCTGAAAGATTTAATGTAGGTTTAACATTCTGAATCTTTACAATCACGTGGAAGCCTGTGAAAATGCGTAGACATTCTTTTTTAAATTAGGAAATGAGTTAGCTTCTAATTACATTTGATTTAAAATAATTCAGTAAGTAAATTATATGTGTCCCTCACTATCTGTTGATTTCCTACATTGTTTTTTTTTTAGCATAATTAATTATAATATCTAAAGGGAACAATTTAAATTGCACCCGAGAATAAATAATTAATTTAAAGTCTTGGCTGAGCTCTGTGCAAACGATGGTACGCATTGTGACCACCACCTAACTCTGGAAGGCTGACAGAAGGTGGTACTCATTGATAGGTTGTCATTTAACTATAATTTGGCAGCCACAGGAGATGTTCCTTTGACAAGAGTTGATACTGTCCTTTGAAGGTGTGTTCCGTATCTGATCAAAAGCGAAAGGTTATCCTGGCTTGGCCACGTTGCAAGAGTGGAAGGAAAGAGGGTAACTAGAAGAGTGATGGAATGGAGACCACGGAAACGATGGAGAGATGATGTGGAGTGAGGGGATGGAGAAGAATTGTGAGTGATAGGACAAAATGGAAAAAACTCGTCGAACAAGCTAAGACCCACATTGGGTTATAACGCTACAAGAAGATGATTCTCAATTTTTAGACAAAACAGAACACACATTCAGGCTGCTTATTCAAAAATAGGAAATCAAATATACAACTGACACAAACCCCAAAGTTCTTATGCACTGCGTAACGAGCATTTTCATCGAAGCCAACCACGTCATAAGAGGAGCCAGCAAAAGAAGTGAACTCGTGAACTCATGTCATTGCCTGTCTCTTTAGATCACTCTTCATGTGTGAGGTCAAACTCAAAGAGAACGACGTCATACCTCGTGACTATTGATCATTCACCCCACTTTATTTAATATCATATATAAGATAGTGTAGTTGCGTCATATTGTGATTTATTAAATTAAAATTAAATTATTTGGTTATTCCGTCAAATCACAATGTATTTAAAATAAAATAATTAAAATATCATTCTGTGTTCCATATCAAATATAATAAACCTTGATCGGATACGGTAATACTTCTGGATCACCTCCAGACACAACTGTGTTGTCTACTATTTCATCTCTGACCGATGTAAACATCAAAAGCATCACTTCAAACAATAAAGTTGATCCATTATATGAAAATATCTGGACACGACCTCCAAAAAACTACACTACGAAAAATTGTAAAAAATTGTAATTGAGTTTTAAATTTAATATAATTTTACACCTGATGATGGTTTAATAAAACCGAAACATGTTGTAACTGTTCCAATTGTAAATCGATTATTCGATATGGAACACAGAATATTTTAATTATTTTAATTATCTTATTTTAAATACATTGTGATTTGACTGAATAACCAAATAATTTAATTTTAATCATATATAAGTTTCAATATCCCAAGGCACATCATCAGAAGGATTCATGAAGTCATAGCGTTAACTTTGAGTAACTTACTGGTCAACTTTATCTTGCCTCGATATTGAATAAAACTCTTCATATCAGTTTCTACAAACTGACAATCTTCTACATTTGAAATACTTAGCTATTACAAACTTACCCGCAAATCCTACGAAATACTACCAACATCTAAGGAAGCCGATTACCAACTTTACCTCGGGCACTTCCAAATGTATTACATGGTGGCAGCGACGGGATTGCTCTCAACGCAGTAGAAGAACGAGGAAAGTCAGTTTTGTATCTTCAAAATTCAATTATTCAATCGCTGTCGTACGAGGGCCAGATCAACGCATCTTGGAGGACTCCTGAGTTCGAGTGCTGGCCAAATCTCGACTACGGATATCCAGATACGCAGCAATCAAGACAACGTGGGGAGAAGGCTACAGTAGCGCTGTTCAGGTCGGACCTCGAGGGGTAACGGGCAGGCAGCCTGTTAGCATACCACTACGCTCTGAGGAGTCAGTAACGTGCTGGGTGGTGAACTACCATATTCTCAACACCCTTTCTAATTTCGAAGGTTAGTACTGCTCCTGATGGCAAACTCCCATGATAACGAGGCTGAAGACCTAGAAGCAGAGGAGGGTGACCAAGCTATTAAGTTAATAACCAAACCATTTTCGGGTGATCCAAAAGAGTTGCGTTCTTTTTGTGACAATGTGGAGGCTGCTATACACCATGAGAGTGGCGTTATTGAAATTTATAAGAGCTAATATTATTGGGGAAGCACGAGATAAAATTATTAATCGAAGTCGAGAACATGGGATGAGATAGAAGCTTGTTTAGAAGAACATTACGTGGTAAAGCATACACTCAAATATTATGCTGCTAGTTTATTTCAAACTAGACAATCACATTATTTAGACTGGAAGAGCGACGCCTGATCTACTCAGTGGAGCAGATGCTTTAATGGCTGAATTGGTGAAAGGTACCTTCACTGCAGGCCTTAGAGACGATAGGGTTAAATATATAGTGAAATCCAGAGGCGAAAATGTTAGTCTAGCACAACTGGTAGAAACAGCTTTAGAAGAAGAAGGGGAGTTTAAATCTCAGGTCCAAATGTTGACACTGCCTTCATTATTGAAGAAACAGTTTTAATTAAGATGAGGGGAGGAGGATGTAGGAACCTTTTCTGGAGACGCTGAAGGAAAACTATTTTCAGGGACTGTGGAGATTGACAGCAGTGGTGCCTTTTTGAGATATTTTCTTTTAAGTATATTTGTAGGGAAGTTTGTGGTGATTGGATCAAATTAATAAATTGCTGTAATATTCGTGTGCACAAATTCGTAAGTCAGACTTCTCTAAACTGGTTACTTCCTGTACAGAACCCAAATAGCTACTCTGACAAAACACAGATTACAAGAAATGTAGTGTGTACATGGAGGATATCCCACAGAAACTAGGCATTAAGATGTATCATACGCCTGCTTTACTTTTCTCACTTTATTTCAGTTCTTGCCCAATGTCAGAACGACGAACTCGGTCTATTTCTAACGCGTGTCCAGGAAAGATAGCAGCTGCGCACTTCAGCATTTACCAACATAGATGTCATACGCGTTAATACTGTGTGTAGCGCAAATGATGTACTTGGAAGAAACATAAAGCATATCCAAGCGATTTACTCTTCTGTTACCTGGATACATTTAGTGTCGTACTGGTTACAGGCATAATAACACATAATTCTGTCTCTTAATGCTACGAACTATGAATATGATACTACAGGGACGGATAATTTTGATACAGATCTTGCACCAGTTAGGAATATAACCGAAGTTTTCCAACCTCATTGAGAATTTTTATGCCAAATCATGAGTAATTCGTACCGAACATTTATTTACTTTCTCAATCTCAGGCAATTAACAGGTGCCATTTTTTTTACCTGCTGGGAGCCTCTAAAATAAAATAAAAAAAAAGCTGTCCTACAGACATCCTGACAGACGAGATCGTCTTAACGGTTTTCCAGAACCAAAAGCCACCTCTTCACTTAAAATGTGAGATAGAGCATATGAGTGTTACTTCTGTGAATTATCATGTCATGTTTTTATAATATCTTTACACTTCATTTTACCATGAATATGAACTTTAAAATCATTACATAACTGGCAATTTCATTGTCATTCTTCCCCATGTCCTACGAACCACGTGTTTCCAATTCTGGTCATCCCTAAAGCAACTTGCGAACAATTATACCCTCAGTATCACCGTTCCTCTAATTTAAATATTTGATATATCACAGTAATATCAAAGAAACACTGGAGAAAGTCAAATATTCTAGACCAAACCAACGAGTACGTTTCCAACGTAGCGACTCGTAACCGTCGGCAGGTGACGGGAGACGAGGACACGGACAGACGGAGGATGACCTTGATTTGTACTGACTTTCAGAAAGTACTTCACAAAGGTGGTAAAAAGAACAGCAGATATCCATGTAAAATTCAGATTTGTACCAGCAGTCAGTCTTATTACTAAACAGATGACTCACTCGGTCGATTGATCAATCAGCCAGTATTTGGTTTTGTCTCTTGATCAGTGACATGACGGATGAACACATTGTCTTCTGGCATATTCTCTGGTGGTTCCTCAAGTTCGTAAACGTAAGAGCACGCAATTGCAAGGACAGTGCCTGGAACAATACATCACACAACACTTATCAATTTCATGTAAACCTCGATTATATACATTTAGTTTAAACTTAAAATAAAAGTCTCGATGTAATGAGTAGAGCCAATAATGACAAAACCACTCTTATAAATGTTTTTTAAGCATGGTCAATGTAATAATACAGAAATTTTATTGTTGTAAGAAGAATTCTGCTTCATTATTCTCAATATGAGTATCTAATTAAGTCAACATGTATCTAGAGCTGGGTATTGTACCACCAACTTAATGGCAAGGTCACAAAACCCCACAATTAATTTGTGTGAACCCTGTAAATCTATTTCATTATTATCACGAAATTCAAGAAAACAATTCAAAGAATATTTTAATGACTGGAAATTTATAGTGGGATGAAAACTGAAAATGTCTTACAAATTTCTGAGCTCTAAAAACGATGAAGACTTCACCAGCAATCCTGACTTACCAACATCGTTGAAGCACAGCGACGAGATGGTCGCACTGTAGCGTTGAAACTGACTCAACCGTTTCTTGTTGATTCTATCCCATATGTTGACAAATCCATCAGGATAAAATTATGAACATTCTAATTAATAAATAATGAAAAGAGATTTAGTTTATAATCATACAGCTCCTATTTTCCTTCTCACGTATGCATAAATCTTGTGTTCTTTATCAGTATTATATTTGTTAACATGGTTACATACAACGGGAAAAACACATCAGAAATACCACTCACACAACTTTAATTGAAATCCCACAACTTTTTGGTATCATGACATCACGATGTCCTCCCGTAATTTTACACCTCGTCAGAATATTGATCCCGATGACACACACATTAGTATAATAAATCTGAATACAAAGCGTAAACTTGCAAAGTTAAAGTTTTGAGAAAAAAGCCTCTGAAGTCTGAATGCAAATAAAAAATACTTTAATTTTACATTATTGCTGCCGCCATGTTAGGAATCACCTGGACAGAGAGATGGCTGGGAGATGGATCGGCAGAGGTGGACCAATCGCTTGGCCTCCTAGGTCGCCAGATTTAACCCCATTGGATGTTTTCTTGTGGGGTTATGTGAAGAACATTGTCTACCAGGTTAAGATCAACGACCTTCAACACCTGAAAGCCCGCATAAGGGACGCTGTGGCTACGGTAACACCAAACATGCTTCAAGCAATGTGGAACGAGCTTGACTATCGTCTGGATATTTGTCGTGCCACCAGGGGAGTCCACATTGAAATTTACTGAGAAAGTTTTCCTTTCTGATGCCATAAACCAGATACGTGTTTGACAATTAGTTTCCGATATATAATTTTTTTATTTTGGATACCTTTCATCCGGACACTCTGTATAAATGTGGAGAAAAGAATAATTCTTTTCACTGTTATCTCCGTCTGTTGGGGAAACAGCGAATGCATCTGGTCTGGTACTTGAGACTCGACTCCCTGCGTTGAAGGACGTAGCCCACGTTGTGGAGGTCCCAGACATACACTTTGCATCCTGCTGTGCCCACAACAAACTTCTCACCACATAGACTCATTGTGTATACCTTAAGAACACGCAACACGGCAAATAAATCACTTTTTGTAGAATGATACGCAGATGAGTCACAATTCTAACACGTCAAATTTTCTCTGTGTTTAATTACTGAAAACATTGAAGTGTTTCATGCAAAGCAATGCAATGGCCGAGGTGACAGAATGATCCTGAATTGCAAATTTTTATTAATTTTTGTGATGTTAAAAATTTTGTATTCCTGCTTATATTTTTGAATCTAGATTTTGTTAAAGTGACTGCAAGTAGGAACCAAATAAATTAATTTAATTAAGTTAAATTAATATCTGGACAGGAAATACAGAAGTGTGAAAAAAAAAATAATCTTACTTAATGTGGCAATCATTTAATATTTCATTTTAATGAAACTCTCATGTTGTATAAATCACACAGTTTTTACTGTCCCCCACACACCATGGACTCCTAGGATCCCACAATTTGCAGTTGCATCCCAACTTCCTGTCAATATGCCATTTACTTCAGGAAAGTACTCGAATTGAATTGTCATGAGTTCCAACTACGGTTCCTCTACGACACAACACAATTACTGTTATCAATAAACACAGTGCAAACTAGGCACCATGAAAAGAGTATAATGGTATCTAATGCTAATTTTTTGGAACAGTGTCGCCAACAAATCCCGCATTATTCTTTCAAAATAGTCATTAAAAATTATTTCTGAAAACGTGTCATATTCACTTTCATCATCCCTGTGATAAATACAATAGATATCACAACCGAGGCAGGAACCTAGGGACTTGAAATGCATCGAGTATATTTTCAAGTACCTCGGATCAATATTAAATGAGAGTGATGGCAGGAAATATATTCTGTTATGCCCTGGGATCAATAATGAAATCCAAATCAATATCTCAGAAGTCAAAACTTAAATCCTACTGTACTGGCAGACCTAGGACGTGAGAGCTGTATGATGCTGAAGAGGATCTTAGATTGATGATAGTGAAAAGGAGGAGAATGAGAGCAACAGTGAGGACAGGGTCCTGCATGGGCTGTAGAACAGCGAAGTAAGTATAATTTAAAGGACTATCCTGGCCTTTGCCTGTAGGAACTGGGAAACTAAAAAGTCTGTCACAACTGCTGGTCTCCAGACTAAGATTTGAACCTGGAACCTCCTGAATATGTAGTAGGAGTACTAACCACTTAGACATGACAGTGGTAGATGCTGATTGGGGGTCTATATTTTATGTTTTGTATCATAAGCCACTTCTGAGAAAAAGTGAGGGAAGAAATATATCACTACACTAAATTTGTCACATGTAAAAAGTTTCATATCATCACAACATGTGTAATTATTAATTTAAAAAAGTATTTCTGCCACACTGTATTACATTACAACATTATTCCACGTTAAATGGTGCTAAGTCAGCCCCACCCGAGAAGTCTGCATGGCTAAGACGTTGGCATTACTAATGTTAGAAAATCAAAAATACAGAGGTTGAGTCACCTCTACAGTCAACGTTCATACCAAGTATCCTCAAAACTGGTTCAAGGGAAAAGAGAAACAGACATGAAGATACAATGCAAGCTTGTCGTTCTTTATAGAATACCTCACCTGGAAACAAACGTCCAAAACTGTCATGTTATTTGTTATAACATCATACAAACGTACAGTTTTGTCCCAAGAAGATACAAGTAAGAATTGTGCAGAGTTAGGTCCAAATTTAACAGATGATATGCCATCTTCTGGGGGTGTTTTCAGCTTAAATTCAGTCATTCCTAAACAAACAAGTACTCCAGTAGTCACAAATAAATACACAGAGATAAAATACATCATGTGCACTGTCATACATATAAATCTATTTATTTTATTTCCCCATACTATTATTCTTTACTGACCTTTGTAGATAATGCAAGAATTAAAAAATTACTGTTTGTATAAAACATTTTTACTTGAGGGGCCTTTTTATACAGAACTTACTACAATAATGAGATAATAAACACACTTCTACATCAGCTTATTATTATTATTATTATTATTTAGTGTTCTGTCTGACGACAGGTCCATATGAACAGGATCCTTCCATCCTTTTCTCGGACTGGGACCTGTTCATATACGTTCTTGGCAGATGATCCAGAAGTGGTTTGCCATTGCCTTCTTCTGTGTGTGAATGGAGTAATTGTTGGGATGCCACGGAGGAAAACTCCATGTTGCCTAGACCACGGCCTTGCCCAACACAAGTTATAAATTCGGGCACCGCCGGGAATCGAACCCGAGACCCCAGGATTACAAGACCAGCGTTCTAACCGCTACAGAAGTATTATAGTGAGATTTCAGGTTCTCATGCTGACAAGTATGATGTATGTCTTCTGGGATGTAGTGTACCATGTAATATGGCAAAAACCAATGAAGTGTTTCAGAGCTGCTTACCAGTCTACCACACTACACACTGCAACATGCCAGAAGACAGACATTTTCAAGTACTAAAGTGTTGTAGCAACATTATCCTTTATTGCTCCATAATTTCTTTCAAGAACCATTTGCTTTGTGAGATTACTGTGAGCTGCTAATCAAGAGACAGAGAATACAGAAATCTTCATCGCCCTGATGACGGAGGCAGTATGACCTCTGAAACGTTGGTTAACATCGACCAGACTACACAGCGCAACAACCCAGAAGACAGAAATCTTCATCGCCCTGATGATGGAGGCAGTATGACCTCTGAAACGTTGGTTAACATCGACCAGACTACACAGCGCAACAACCCAGAAGACAGAAATCTTCATACTCATCGCTCTGATGATGGAGGCAGTATGACCTCTGAAACGTTGGTAAACATCGACCAGACTACACAGCGCAACAACCCAGAAGACGGAAATCTTCAAGAGACAGAAAATTGCACTGCAATATAAAATAACTCACTGAGAACCAAATGATTGTCTGAGTGATATAAACTGGTTAAATTTCAAAATATGAGTGAGATGCACTGGCTTTCCCTATATCTTCAAGGCATTGCTGTGTAGGCAGACTGTCGACCCAGTGGACATTTTATTGTTTAAACCTTTGAAATTGGTTCATTCAGATTTTTGTAACCCTTCTGTAGACCTTCAACAAAGCCACATAAAAGATGTCACAATTTATCCTTATCCCTATAACTGTGAGCAGTTTATTTTCAGAAATCCTTATGGATATTATCAGAGTACTCTATGATTACGTAAGACTTGATGACGGAGGCAGTATGACCTCTGAAACGTTGGTAAACATCGACCAGACTACACAGCGCAACAACCCAGAAGACGGAAATCTTCATACTCTATGATTAATTTACAAAAATGTGACAAACAACCAGGATTTTGTGAAACATGCAAAGTTGTACGGGCAGTACATGAAAATGTTAAATTAAATGAACCAGTAATAGTTAATATCAGTTTCCAAAATGAGGACTAGAAGGAAAGAACATCCCCTGTAGCCGACATCGTTGACAATGTCTTATACCGAAGTTTGCAGTATGAACAAATATTTAAATTCTTTATACAACAAAAGATCCACTTTTTTTTAAACCCAAATTTTGGAAGCACTCTCATTTTTCTGACATCTCTATACTTGCAATAAGCACACTTCAGCAAATACTATTTGCAATTCAGATGACACTATCACAAACTTACAGTCAAGCAGCAACACTTTTAAAGCTGTTACATCACTGATAATCATTTGTACTTACTACTATTAAAATTAATATGAAACAATCGTAGCTAAAGCTGTATTTTGTTGCTTACTGTTGACTTTTTGCTTTTTACAGTCAAGTCCTGGAGATGCATTTTTTACTTTTGCCCTAAAACAAGAAAAACACTTTACCTTCACACTTACAGACACGTGAGTTATACAAAATCTGTCTCGTAAAGTCCCCACATTCCTAAATTCTGATATTAGTATTGCTTGTACCTGAAGAAAACTATGTGAAGTGAACCTGTTAATCCAATAGTTCGCTGTTCCTTTGGGACTCGTATGTATATATTAAACTAAATGACCACAGAGAAATAAGGATTCCAAAACAGAGATGGGCAGCCACTTAATTTAAAAGAGGTTCTTGTTTTGTTTATTTATTTCTCAGTTTATTTAATGCATTTCCTGCAAGTTCATATCCATGTTTAAAACAGACTGTACTGGTTCTTACACTGAGTTAAATTAATCCAGTGCATACCCACCCATGTTACAGGGTGGCTGAAAATAAATGCTAGGATTACAAACATGAATAACTTAACTTACCCACTGCTCTAGGTAAAAAGTAAAGTAAAGTTTGTCCCACTATACGCCATGTAGGCGTTTGGGGTGAGTGGTCAGCTTTACCCCCGGGAAAGGACCCCCGGTACCCATTGTAGAGGAGGCTGGGTGGGCCCCAGAGCCGGTCTGGACGCAGAGGCTAGAGGAAAAATCCTCTGCCCCCGTCGGGGATCGAACCCCGGTCTTCCAGCCCGTAGCCAGTCACTATACTGACTGAGCTATCCCGGCTCATCGACTGCTCTAGGTATAGTAATGAAATCAACTACATTTTTGTCCAAACCTCTCAAAGTTTTGATCTGTTATAGTAAAATAAGTTCAATGTTGTGTGTTGCTTCACACACGTCCACATGCCAATCCAGATCTTGCATCAGTGTTTCTGGACTGCATTGCCGATTCTTTTAGCTCCTCTATAATGGTTGGTGTTGTTAATCAGGTGACATCTTTACCCCCCACCCCAGAATAAAAAGAGATTCGATCAGGAGATCTAGGCTGTCAAGAAACTGGTTCTAGTTTTTGAATTCACCTTCCAAGAAAATGTCTATCTGGGCCATGGGAGTGACTAATGAGGAACAAAACTTTGATAGGTGGGGAAAACAATATAATTGGTATCGTTGCTGCACTCTGATGAACCACGGACATATACTTAGTTTTCAAGCATTTATTACTTCAATTTTCTCACTAGCATCTAATAGATCTTGTGTTTTCCTTTATAGTATGAATGTTTATGCTCAATAAATTACCTCCATCAGCATCAACAAATGTCTACTGAATTCAATGAAGGAGAATGTTGCACAATAAAGACAGTATTCTGTGATACAATTAGCCAATCTTCAAAATAAGTCTGAGCTGTGAATTACGTTTAACAGAGAACAGTTTGTAGCTATTATGAGTTTTAAACTGGATCAAATATAATGTATTGCATACTTCACTTTGGCTCTTTATCCACTACCCTAGTTATTGTGAGATATCTCTGGCTGAAGATTTCTGCAAATAAAAAGTTGACAGTGGAACCACGGTTCCGGAGAATTTGACGTAAATACGTCTGTACGGAAAGGAAGTTTATATATTGGCTTTATTCTAAATATTTCCTTCATATATGCTTTACAATTGAGATAAGTTTGATTAAGACTTTGCTTATTTAACTTGAATTAGTTACGCTTAAGATGGGTCTGTGGTAGCTGAATGTAATGTTCATAGGTAACAACAATGCCGAGTAAATACGACGTTTCCTAGGTAACAACAATTCCGAGTAAATACGACGTTCCCTAGGTACACTTGTTACACTTTTTCGTATCCCCTTTCTCACCGAATGACCCTTCCTTATAGACGTATTTACGTCAAAAACTTTACCCGTTACTTTGGCACAGTATTTGTATTCCAATTCATTACTACTGAACCGAGCTCATTTGGGTTGTAAAGAATGTATGTATATCATGCTCGTGCAGGACAGACTACCGTACTTTCATAAGCCATATGCATTTATACATTTTTACACTGAACAGTGTGCAAATAGAAAGACTTCTATCCTTCTGTAGCACATGTCGTAAGTTCCTGCACTAACTGCAGTGTTACCTGTGTGCTGTGATTGCGAGGATGTTAATTTTTATAAACAATGGAACGTGACCCACAATAACTTGGGATATTAATCATAACAAATTTGTAACTAATATTCTGTACATCACAAATACATATGATTCATCGATACACAATAGTAATTTCATTTCTGGGTTTATTCATTAGTGGTAAATTTTAAAAAAAACTTTTGGATCATATTTTCAGAAAAAATTAATCATAGAAGGAGTTTGTGTTATGCAGGCTACACAATAAGAAATGAACACAACACAGAAAGAATATTTTTATTGTTTGGGAAAAATGTAAATATATTTTTAATCTTCAAAGAAATAGAGTTTGTTCTTCAAAACTGTCCAGCCACCGCAGTCTAACTTTGGACATCAGTATCACAAATATTGATTAATTTACATTAAACTCAGCCTTGTACTCGCACTATAACATCTACACCAACAAGACGGCCAAATGAACTTGTAAGGTGTGAACGCTTAATGTCATTTTAACATACAGCTATATGGTGCTGGGTCTGGAAGTTATGTGTATTTTTCTTCTAATAGTCTGAAAGAAAAATGCCCTTCAGAGTTAAAAATTTCAGACATTTTCTGATAAAATATTTATTTTAGAAACCTCATTATAATCTAACTTCGCAACCCAACGCAGCCCCCAAATAATCTCTCTGTTTACTCACATTAACATTTAAAAATGAACTACAAGCAGGAAGACAGAAATGATACTCCAAAGTGAGTGACCCACTGGAAATGTTTATCCACATTAAGAGTAACAGAACTTACCAAAATGTCACTTTCATGTATCAGTCTTCATAATAGTCACCATCGTCAGAGAAGTCTTCATAGAAGTCGTCGTCATCATCATCTCCAGTAAACAATGAATGGCAATCCCAATCTAAAAAACATTCATTCTTACATTATTTTGTTAATTACAATACCCATTAAAGCGCAAATGTATTAAAAGCGTAGGATGTGAGGATCTCACGGCAGTGAGGACAAAGATGGCTGTCTCCTGGTTTGCAGCGCCATGCAGTCCAGTAGAAGTTTACAAGCGTTTCAGAGGTCCTTGCTGCCTCCACCACCAGGGCAATTGCTGAAACCCAGAAGACAGCCACCTTGTTGAATGTAATCAAGAACAGTTACCCCAATCACAGAGATCATCCATATAATCAAAATCCTCATTATCTGATGATGGGAAGTAAATTTCATCGACAAAATCCGGTCGAAGACGAGCGATACAGAGGTCTGAAAAATCCACTTCAAGTAATGGGTTCTTTTCCACAGGAGCAGATCCGCAAACACTGGTGGCTGAAAAAAGTAGAAATCCTTGTTACATTTAAGACTGTATCTGCCTGAAAACAAATGTCACCGTCTTCTAATATCATTAATCTGAAATCATAAAGCCAGAGTTCTACATTGGAACTGCCATTCTCGATGCACACATCCTGCTCATCTATGCTATATTCCATGTCCACTCCTACAACAAAAGGAACAAAGAATATTATTTCCAGTCAAAATGACCCAACTTACCTCCCACTACCAACGTCAGCTTGACGCCGTTGGTTCGCAATTTAACGGAATCCAACGCTGCTTGAACGATGGCATCAGTCACAAGATCACACCCACTAAAGTCGAAAAGTTCCAATTCACTGCACGAGGTTACCACACTGAAAACACAATTCATGTTAATATTAGACTTTCTAAAAAAAATCATCTGTAACCAGGAAATTTTATAATTTACTTGGATCAATTCCACAATTCAAAACAAGAGACCACCTGTTGAACATCCACACACTGGACCCAATGCCACAAAAAATCAGGTTATGTTTTAATAACAAGTGACACAATGGTGGAAGTATAAATAGTACTAAATGTATCCTAGGAATCATATGCCAGTCAAGTCTGTTATACGGATTAGTTTGGCGTTACAGTGGAGAGTGCAGTTTTTCTGAAGAACTCGTCAGAAACAATCTGGCTGTCAATCCTCGATGCGTTAATTTCACATATCCATCCTAAACAATTCAGAAGGAACAATATAAGCTGAGTTTTTGCATATCCAAATCTGAGCAACAATACATTAACATAAATATATAGAAATAAAACAATAAAAATTATTTCCTCCTCAAAATTAAACGATGAATTAGTTCATACACGAAGTTATTCGTACAAAGAACGAGTCTGTTACACATACATCTGAGCAGCAACAGATGAATGTAAATGAGATTATCTACACTGTTGACGACAGGTCAGGTCCATATGAACAGGATCCTTCTTCCATCCTTTTCTCGGACTGGGACTTGTTCATATACGTTCTTGGCAGATGATCGAGAAGTGGTTTGCCATTGCCTTCTTCTGTGTGTGAATGGAGTAATTGTTGGGATGCCACGGAGGAAAACTCCGTGTTGCCTAGACCACGGCCTTGCCCAACACAAGTTATAAATTCGGGCACCGCCGGGAATCGAACCCGAGACCCCAGGATTACAAGGCCAGCGTTCTAACCGCTAGACCACCGTGGCTATTTATGTAAATTACCAACAGACAAAAGCTGATAAAATATTTATGTACCTGATACAAGCAACATCTGTGAAAGTTGGACAGCCTCGACACACAAGCTTCCGGAGTTTTCCTTTGCGTGCTACAGCTTCCAACGCTGCGTCAGACACATTTGCCATATAACTCATGGACAGGTTAAATAAATTTGGTAATGCTGCCAGGCTTCTCAAGCCACTGTCTGTTATAGAACCTGATTCCCAAGAATGAACACTGCAACCTGAAAACAGAACAGGCAAACACATCAATCCAACCCTTTACATTATATCTGGACAGATGGTAATAAAGCACATGTACGAAGGCAAATTTTCAAACGACGGCCCATCGTGTTACCAAAAATGTTACAGTTTTACTACAAACATTTATTAATGACGAACACATGAAAGCATTTCTTCACAAACCCTATAAAAAGACATGTTACGTTCCAAAAAATATGATATTAAATCCTACTACCAAAATAGTTTCTTCGCAAATATTCCACTGTAAGAACTTGTTATAAATCACAGCAAACATTCAGATATCATATCAGACAGTACATATATCATGTTCCCCACACAAGAGCTGTCGTTTGTAATGTCATCAATTAAAATTAGACAATGTTCAACAACCTGCCAGGAATTCTGATTGGTTTCTGAAGAAAATATTTACAGAAATTTCACAAAATTCCATAGTGGCAACATCTACAGCCCCTGTATAAACCAGACATACAGCTTGAGATTTGAGGTTCTCATGGTGGTAGACTTGAGTTATGATGCGGTGTGGTCCCGTAGGTTGTTATTAACATATCAGAGGACTGTTCATTACTGCCTATACGAGGTGCGATCGGAAAGTTTACAGACTGTGTCAATAGAGGGCGAACCGGATGTAGTACGAGCTTTTGCCGCTAGGGGGTGCGGCCTACATTCATAGTGAATCAGTGTGCCAGCCGGCATCATCGAATTAGCATTTGTTTCTTAGTTACGGGCGTTTTGGTAGTGCATTACACCGACCCTCCTGCGATTTCGGAATGGCGGATTTTCATGAACAAAT